TATGCCTCGTCGGCACCACAGGATCCACCGTCGCCACCGGAGGTGTTGTTGTTGCCACCGGCTTTGCCACAGGGGCCGGCGATGTCAAAGGAGCCGGCGTTGCCACAGAGCCGGCGTTGTCAAAGAGCCGGCGTTGTTGTAGTCGCGCCCTTCGGCGGCTTTGGAATCGCTGCCTTCGGACCCTTCGGCGGCTTTGGAACCGCTGCTTTTGGAACCTTTGGAGCGGCAGCCTTCGGAGCGGCCCTCGGTGGAGGTGGTGCTGTCCAGATGTTGGGCGGCGCTGGCGCGGCCTTTGGCGGACTCTTTGGCGGACTCTTTGGCGGTGTGGTTGGCCCCTTTGGTGGTGTAATCGGAGACTTCGGTGGTGTGGCTGGCCCCTTTGGGGGCGTACTTGGCACCATAGCTGTTGAGCCTGGGGTCTTCGGTGGAGTCACAGGCTGCTGTGCCCCACGTATCGCGGACAACACCCCCTGCCTCCTTTCGCTGGCTCGCTGCCTGAACTGGGCTAGATCCGCAATTTTCTCCTGCATAACGGCGCCCTGGGAGCTGGCTGCGGGCGCACCCGAGCCAGGAGCAATGTTGGAGGCTGTGGTGCTCGACGTTGGTCTCCATTTGCCCCAACACTCGTCCTCGTCCGTCTCCTCCTCCTGTGCTTCCACGCTCATAGGGACCGTGCTCGGCTCCGGCACGGGAGGCATAGGAGTTGTATCCGGCTCTGGCATGGGTGGCTTGAGAGGAGCCACTCTCCCACGCCATGCGTACACAGGAGTAGTCACGACCGGGCTGTCTGGAGAGTCTTGCCTGGCCAGTGCCTTGGCACCAGCCTTCGTAAGAGCGCCGCGGGGAGAAGTCTCCGATCCTGGCAGAATCAACGGACTCGGCGGCTCCACCGGGCTGCTTTCGAAAAGGCTCGCAAAACTCATCGGCGGACTCTCTTCCACCTCTGCTGTCGGCAAGTCCGGCTCTGTGAGGTGAGGAGACAATTCCGGGGAAGAGACCGGAGTCGGCAGCGCCACGTCGTTGGAGAGCTCCGTCTGCTCCGCCGGCAACCTTTGAACCCGGAAGGTCGAGTTCTCCATGTCCTGGTCCTCCATCTCTTGGTCCGGATTCGAACCAGACATCACGCCTTACACACCCTATTTGGCCTTCCGAGCATGAGCGGCTTTGGGCTTCGGGGTATTCACTGCCGGGACCTAAAAGGTGAGAAGACGCAACCGACCGACCGACGCACAAGCTACCTACACTCCTAGATCCTACTTCTCCTAAGGGGTGAGACGAGGCAACCGACGAAACTGCACTGCCTACGCTTCCCTTCTCTTCACTTTGCAAAACAAGCATAGAAGGATCTGGCTCTACATAGGTGCAAGCTTTCAACCACGACGTGTTGGCGTACAATTCTGTCTCAAAGCGCAGACCACCCGGAGGATAGGCTACGTGTAACTGAGGATCATAGTCATAATGAAAGATCCTAAAGCCTAAGGACTGCAAGATGCCTGAGCTAAGGATGCTTATCGAATTGGGAGCAATATACGCTTCCAGCTGCACTCGAATCTCTCTGTAAGTTTGGGTTCCAGAGGGCCCCGCTTCGAAACAAGGGAACCAAAGCTCTAGCAACCCATACCTAGTTATCTCCATAGTCTGGTCGTTGGCGACACTTACAAAGAGAGGCTCAACCTCAAGCTCTCGGATCAGCTTCGCAGTCACTCCAAGCATGTCTTGCGAAACAAGGTGAACACTCCCACCGCTATCAATCAAGAGATACGAGGGGTCGTCCCTAGTGACTGCAGGAAGTGCCAAAGTTGGAAAAGCAAGGCACTCTGAAGACCGATCCCGAAGCTGAGGCTGCGGCGCGGAAGCAAGGCTCAAAGCAATCACTGCTACGGCTACGCAAGCATACGTGAAACATGACTGCCGTGGGCTACTCAAGCATGCAACCAACCGACAAATCAAGCATCCTACCATGCAAAACATGAAAAACGTGAAAATCAAGGCAGTCATGGTGAAAAACTGTCCCCTCTCAGGCATTGCTTCAGAAATCTGCCCTGCCGCGGGCAACAATGACGACATAAGGAGGGCCGCCTTGCCAATCTTCCCGGCACCCTTTGGAGCAGTGGGAGCTGGCGCAGCATTCGAGGGAGGTGCAGGAGGGGCCACCTTGGGAGCAGCACTCTCTGTTGCCGCCGCTGCTGTCGCAGCAGCCTTCTCATCGGCAATCCTCTTCCTGCACTCGTTGGCCCAATGGCCCGGCTTGTGGCAGTAATTGCAGGTGCCCGGCTTCTTCTTCCCAGGAGCCGGCGTCGAAGATCGGGCCCTTCCGCCCTTCTTGCCACCCTTGCCTTTGTCCTTTCCCTTTCCTCCTTTGTCCTTGCCTTTGCCTTTATCACCATGCTTGCCTTGGTCCTTCCCATGACCTTTTCCTTTGGGCTCGCCACCCTTGGGCTCACCCTTCTCAGAACGATCAGCACCAAAAGCTGCAAAGCCCTTGGCGTTCGAGGCTTCCTTGTGAAAGTTCAAAACACGAAGCTGCTCATCATAGAAAACCAAACCGCGCTCAAGCTGCTCCAAGGTTGTCAAAGACCCATGCAACAAAAGGTACTTCTTGCAATCATCATGAAGGTGCTTCAAGATGCAGCTGATAACATCAGCCTGCTGCAGTTCAAGGTCTGGGTACTTGTTGGCAACGAGCGTGCGGTAGCGAGCAAAATCAGAAATCATATGGCGAAAAATATCCAATGGCCGTCTCAAGTGCTTTGGTGGCGCGATCAAGAGAGCCTGCTCTCTGAGCGCCTGTCCCTCCACACGAGACCTAACAGACAGTTCTTTGTTCAACTCACGCCAGAGGTCGTACCCTGCAGCGGCACCGCCTTGACTCAACTCGACAAGCTTGGCTATGTCAACTCCTCGCTGAAAACCAGCGAGAGCCTGCTTCAAGAGGTACCACAGCTTAGTGGAACGAGCGGCCTTCCCCTTTGAGAGGCTGATCTGCTGAACTTGAACACCGCTCTCCACAGCCTCTTGCAGTTCCTCCGCGTAGCGGTCGTCTAAAAGACACAGCCAGGAGGTCAGTTCTTCGCGGTAAGCGGTCCACGTGGAGATTTCCTCATGGCGCGATCTCATCTTGTCCTGCTGCCGCCATCAGAGTCAACTCTGAAGGAGCCCAGAGCTGCAGCAGGCGTCTCTTGGGACGAACTCGCAGCAACGGGTGCTGCACTTGCGGCCGAACTTGCAGCATTCGCACTCGCAACGGCGAGCGTCTTCACCATCTCCGTGAGCTGCGAAATCTGGCCCTGCTGAGCTCGGATCTGTTCATCCTGGGCTTGCAACATCTGCCTGAAAAGGTTGACAGTGTTGTCTTCTGGACTAGGCACAGTTGCCTGCTGCGGATTCCCTCCTCCGTGAGAGAAAGTCGGTTGCGTTCCAAACTGAGGCTGTTGCTGCTGCTGAAAACCCTGCTGCAAAGGAACCTGTTGAGGCACCTGTGGAAAGGCACCGAGGCACTTGACCTGCACTCACAAGAGGTCTGGGTCTACTCACAGGCCGGTGTGCTGTCGGACTGTTCCGAGCAGGAAGGGACCTTCCACGAGTCCGCGAGCCAGGTGCACTTCGAGGGGTTGAAGGAAAGCTAGAAGAAACTCCACTGGCACACTATGAGAACGGTCGCGGCCGGGCTCGGCTCGTGGGTCCATGGCTCTGAGGAGCAACCTTGAGCTCCGCTACCACGTTAAAAACCCAAACGCGCCTTTAGGCACACTTCTAGGTTTAGTAAAGGAGGTCAAGCCGACTGACTGACTACGTCACGCAAGGCTACAGCAGTGAAAGCTAACAGCACTTTTTTATACCTTTCGTCGCAACCAACTATTCACCACGCCTTGTCACGCAGTGCAAGACTTGAGCCAAAAACGGGCGCAGACAGAGACTTCAGCACTCACTTCCGCAGTCAGTCCGAAGGACTCCTAACGGCTTCTCTGCACTGGTAACTCTGTTCTATGGCCCAGGTGCTCCCCGGACTTCGTCTAGAAGTCCGTTCTCACAGCAAACAAACTGTAAACACTCTGATGTTATCATGCTTCAGGGAAAACACCGTTCTTCGTGAAAACTCGTGAGGAAAACTCCGGTTGGACACGCTTCTGGTAATGATCACTTTCACCGCAAGGTGAGACAGGAAGCGTAAGCGCAGCGACCGACAGACAGACAACTTTTCCCTACTCCTACCGTTCACAACTACACCTAAGGTTCTCTAAAACTCACTAAGGAGAAAACTGTAAAATGATAGCAACTGCTTCTGCTTCGCTTCGCACTTCGCACCCAACACAGCACTTTTGCGTCAGGCTTCTCACAAGCTCTGGTTGGTGTGAAACTTGCTCACGGCGAGTTGGACCACACAAGTAGTCGTTCTTCTTGGCCACAGCTTCTTCTTGTCGTCTTGACCACACAAAACACAAGCTTCGGCCAAAGCACCGTCCTCAACTACTTCCTGAGCCTACACAGCGAAGTCGTGCGCTTACAAGTCACTGCACACTGCTGCGTGAACCTTCTCAGAACAGTCACGCGCTTACAAGTCACTGCACACTGCTGCGTGAAGCTTCTCAAAACAGTCACGCGCTTACAAGTCACTGCACACTGCTGCGTGACGCCTTCTCAGCTGAAAGTTCAACTCTCTCAGCTTCTCAGCAAAACAAAACATGTGCCATGCGAAAACAAATTCGTGAAAACTCTGCTGCTGCTCTGCGCTGCCAAAAGCAAACCAAGCAACGGCGAAAACGACAGTCTGTTCCCGAAACTCTTTCAAACACTTGCACCTAACATGAAGAGGTGTTGATAGCCTCTATGGGCATCATTTTCCACACCCCCCCATGGACATAGGAGGCTATCAGTGTCAAACTGCGAGGCCTTTGCAGCTCGAAGTGCTGCAATGGCCGTCTGAGCAACTCAAGTCGAAACAAACTCCTTCACTGCAAGGCCTTTGCAGCTCGAAGTGCTGCAATGGCCGTCTGAGCAACTCAAGTCGAAACAAACTCCTCCACTGTATTCCTGTCTGGGCTAAAGCTGACCTTTTTACCTACCAGAGGCAACTGTGAAGAGCGGTGTTCAAGACCGTCCGGGATCTGTTGCGCCTGAGCAACCTCACAATACACCGATCTTTCAGGACACTCTACGGCGGCTGGTCCCTCACATGCGGTATTTCCCAGCTGCAAAGCTTCAACCAAAACAAAGCCTGCTGTTTGAAAAAGATTCACAAGCATGTCTTTTGTTGGTGTCTTTGTTAAGCCATCAGCGCCATGCACGACCCCAGCAATCCAGAAAACTATCGCCAAGCCATGTTGCACACAGTACTGCAAGAAGCTCGCCCTAAGCTGTAAATGACGCACTCTTCTTAGAAGACCTACCATCTGGGCAATTGACTGTGCACTACGGTTGTCGGTATACAGCTCGATAGCGAAACTGGAGAACTCGTTTGCTGGCTGGCCGGAACTTGCCATGGGAATGCCATACAAAACAGACTCTGCCAAGATAGCCACTGACATGCTTTCTTTGAGGGCCTCCACCAGACCCATCAGCTCAGATTCTGGTGAGCTCAATGCCGGAACTTCTTGTTTGCGAGAGAAAGAACGGATCAAACAACCGAACCACATCACCAAACATCCCGACACCGAGGGATCCGACCACGACGAATCCACATAAGCCAGGACCTTGTGACAACCAGCCTGCAATACCTCTGGCCTTGATTCTCCTGCTGGAAACTCTTGAACGACCGTCATTCGGGACCTCATCCATCGCAAAACAGCTCGCAAGCAACTCTCAGCAGCAGGATTTGGCGACGACTGAAACCGAGACAAGAAAGAAACTGGGAATGCCAAATCGGACCGAGTGATGCTCATCCATGCAAGCTGGCCCAATGTTCGCCTAAACCTTGACTTTGCATCTTCCGTGAGCTCAGCCTGTCCCTTGAGCTCCGTTTCTTTGTACAGCTTCTCCAAGTTAGGCAAACCGTCTGACATCTTCAACTTTTCAGGCCACTCTGCAAAAAGGCTCTCAGCATAGCTAGTGCATAACCCTAGCCGCAGCTTTCCGTGACGATGTTCTCGGTACACAACCCTTCCAAGAAACTTGATGCTCCCAATCTCGTTTCGCCTCAACAAACCGGTTCGCTTGACTCGGTAGCGACGCTCAAACAACTCAAAGATCTCCAGCACGATTCCTTCGGAAGACGCGACAATCAACACATCGTCAACATACAGTACAATGATTGTGATATCTCCGTTAGCCTCCGATCTCCGGAACACTGTGCTTTCAAACGTGTCCGAAAAACCACCTTCGTACAAACACCCTTTTACTTCTTTGAACCAAAGCAATGGTGCCTTTCGGAGGCCGTTCATGGCCTTCTTCAAGGATGTCACTACCCGTTGTTTCTGATGCAAGACGTTCGTGGGGAGGCGAACTAGAACAGTATCACCTGCATCTAAGCTCGCGAACATGAAAGCAGTCGAAATGTCCAGTGTTCCTAGGCAGTACCCTCGCTGAGACGCTATGGCAACGGCAATCCTGAGGGCCTCCACACTTGATGTTGGACTGTACCAACCTTCATACAAAGCTGATTCCCCTTTAGTCTTGAAATCTTTCACTACCAAACGACACCTGCAGATATCGTCAGTCTTTTGGCTCATGACCCATCGACTAGACAAGATCGGTATTCTATGTTCCCTAGCGAACTTGACGGCTTCAGACTCTGACAAAGAAATGCCTACACCTAGTTTTTCAAGAGCTTGCATTTCTGTTTGAAGACCCGATTCCACTTGACCCCGATCCAATCTGAGACCTGTGATTTCGTCCCACGCGCATACAGGAACTAGGACTTCGAGTTTCTTTCCGCCAAACATGATCTCAAAACTTCTGCCATCATGAGCGTTGCTAGCCCCAAGAGTGTCATGAAGCTGCCATGTGTCTTGACGGGACAAAAACGCATGCAGTTGCTCATCCCACCAATACTTCAACACAGTATCGTCGTCATTGGGCTCACTCAACAAACTCCCGAACTTCAGAGCAAAATGCTCAACCGACTCCAAACCTTTAAACAAACCCCCGTCAACTTCCATGAAATCCGGTGTCTCAGAATCGGCCGTCCCAGTCTGTGACAGCTCGAGCGGAGGGAGATCGAGGTTAGGGTCCTCTTCAGGTGGTAACGAAGGAGAGTACATGGGATCATCGAAGTCTTCATGCAAATTTCGTGGCTCATTTTTCGTTGCCAAGTCTTCTATATCAGTCAACTCAACATCTTGTGTACAATCCGGGGCTTCTGCAACTGACAGCGGCTCTGGGTTCTCCCGCCTACGTTTGAGCAGACCCTTTTTGCCTTCTACCGCATCATCACCCCTTGGTCCATCGGAAGCAGCGCGGACGGGACGCGGAATAGCCAATGGCTCAATCCCAGCTCTGGACCAAGCAAACGGAACAGCGGGCCGAAAAACAGAAAACTCGTCCACTTGGCGTGGACTTTCGTAGTCCCCTTCCAGCGGTAAGCACACACAGCCAGACCCAACGGAGGCGCACGGACCCAAGTACACAGACGACACGAGGCGCTTCCCCCGGTAAGGCAACCTTTGCGGATGACAAGGCTTCGCAAATCCAATCACCCCAAAAGGCCAAGTGACAGGAACAGGTGATTCACACTTCTCTCGCAACCGGTCCAAGGGCGACATGCCTGAATCACTCATCTTGTTGTGAATGTTCTGACACCGTGAAACATAACGCACCATGTGAGACATCAAAGGGGCCTCGTAGGAGATCTTAGCCTCCAAGGCCTTCTCCAGTTGAACCCAGTTCACGTTCACTCCTTCTTTGAAGGTTCGAACCATACGCTCAATCCGACCCTTGTACTGTGGCCTCCCTACAGGAGCAGGTCGAAAGTTCACCCCTTTCGGACCAAAAGTTTCTCGTTTTGACGCTTCCCTAACCAATTTGATCAGGTAATCATCACAATCACTGAGGAACTCAACTGAGCGACCGGTGCCTCCAAGCTCTTTGAAGGCTAAGACTGTTTGAGTTATGTTGAACGCTTCTGACTTCTCAACCCGGAATGCACAGATCATCCCGGTTCCAAGGGCTAAAAACAAGGCAATCCGAACAAGACGCCCAAAGAAAACAAAATCCGCAGCTACACCGAGATGCTCCTCAGCAGCCTTACTACGACGACTTCTTGCAGGAATCATCCCCTTACACTCTCGGCACTCAACACACTCTCTCATGAACGAAAAATGGCCTCGCGCCCGATGTGCATCAAGCGCTTTGCCCTCTAAGTCAACATCATCTTCAAACAGGTCTTCAGGTGGCAAACCCTGAGCTTCTGCACTTCCTCCCGATGGCCTCTCAAGGCCTTTCGGATCTGAGCTTGCAGACGGTTCTGCAACGACGCTTGCGGGACTTTGAGGCTCAACGTCAATCACTTGTGGCAGTCCTCGGAGTCTGGGCTCGGACGTTTCGTGAAAAGATGGTTCTGTCAATCCACGCAACCAAGCAGCACAGTTGCCTTGAGGCGCACTTCCTAAACTTCCTAAACCCTGCACCGCATGAGACAATGAGGCGCATACAGTCACGTCTTCTGCCAAAACAACATCTACGTCATGCAACGGCTCAGCTTGGGAAAGCTCAAACATGCGATCAGCGGTTCTGTTGGTTTGGCAAGGCATGTCCGGTTGAAAAGTGGCTTTGTCGACCTGAAGCATTGAAACTCTTGCAAACATGCTGTTGCTACAAGTACTGTCGTCGATGCTACCAAACTGCTGGGTGTGTGAAAACGGTTTTTCCAGCTCAGAAAACGAAACCGTGGAAAACATGTCTTCGCAGCGTGAATTTTCAACATGTGCAATAAGCTCTTCATGTTCCAACTCGCAAGTTTGCAAAAACAAGCTCTGGTTACAAAACACGTCTGCTTCATCCAACTCGTTGTTCAAGATGGGGTTTGACGTTGACGGTGGTTGAAAAACAGCTGCGGACGCACACTCCTTCAAGCTCGCTTGCTCCAGCACAGGCCCTATCTCATGAACGTCATGATGTAAGCTGCAGCGCTCGTCTTGCGAACACTTCGATGCACTCACGTCCGATCGCAAAACTCTCAACATGTGGTGAAATGGCACAGAACTGTCCAAACATGTGTTGCTCTGACGCAGAATGGACTTCACAGCAGCACATTCCTTCGCATCGATCTTTGGAGACTTCTTGGGCTCGCGTGTTCCCGCAACTCCATGCGGCGGGTTGGCAAGATGAGCATTTCCGCCAGGCTTGGAATCATGAGCATCCGTCCTTCCGCAATCTTCTGGACAAGCAACAACGTTAGCTACTGAACTAATCGCGCCATCAACCTCCATTTTCTCTGATCTAGCCCTTCCAATCTCACTCAAAAGAGCCGGCAAATCTGGATGTTCTGGCACCTTCTCCTTCAGCTGGGCCATCGCCCACCATGCGCGCTTCTCCATCTTGAGGGGAACCTTCTGTCGAATCTGACCTTTCGCAGGTGCCCTTGTCAAGGACGAGGCTCTTTTGCTCAAATGCGTCACCCAATCGTGCTGGGCCAATGCAAATGAGCTCAAAACACAGAAAGAAACTTCAGCTACGATCACATCTGTTACTACGAATCGAGACTTGCCAAACTGTACTCGGAGATCTACAAGGCCGTACGTGGGTATCTGCTCTTCGGCAGCAGACCAGAGTTTCGGGAAAGTACTGTGGACACGAACAACTTCATACCTGCGCAGAGCTTCGCGAGTCATCACATGTGACGTGGCTCCAGAGTCTACAAGCCATGTCTCTACCTGACCCTTGACGCTACAGACCCCGGCGATTCTCGCTCCGGTCCTTTCAGCCATAGCAGAGAGTCTATGCTCACCTGCTCTCAGTGACATGACGACCTCGCCGTCAGGCTCAGCTTCGCTCTCCTTGTCCTCCTGCGTGAGGCTGCGCTGCTTTCCCTTTTTCCCTTTCTTGCCTTTGCCTTTGTTCTCCTGCTTGGGCTTCTTGCATTCGTGAGCCAGATGCCCTTGTTCACCACAATTCCAACACTCTCGCCCAGCTTTGCTCTCACCAGATCTTGGCATTTGCGGGCTGCTGCCTGCACTTTTCTTGCTATTGCCCTTTCCTTCCTTGCCTTTCTTTCCTTTGCCTTTGCCAGGCTTGGCATCCCAACAGTTCTCTGCTACATGACTTGTGCGGCCACAAATCCCGCAAGGGATTCCGCCCTTTCCTTTGCCTTCTCTGTTGCCCATGTTGTGCAAACCTTCTCTACTGACAGCGGTGTCTCCAATCACACGTGTACGGATGTAGTAGGTCTCAATGGCTTCTTTTACCCCAAGAACCGTTTCATTTCGCGCATGTAGCTGCACATACGTTTTCACTTCTTCAGGCACGTTCTTCAGATAAAGCAAATAGATGTCTGCTTCAAGGACACGCAGATCAGGCATACTCACGCCGAGCATGCGATGATACTTGTTCACTGCAACTTCGACCAACCGCACAGTCTCCAGCAAGTTAGTCCCGTGAGGGACCTGATACGACAAGAGCTGGTTCCGATAGTGCAACGCCTCATTCCGACTTTGCAGGGAAAACTCCTCCGTGATCCTCCTCAGCAGCTCATATCCGCTGGCTCTCTGCATGCCTCCCACAGATTCCAGCAGTCCAGCTATGCTTTCCACTCTTCCAAAACCAGCAAAAGCTTGTTTCAGCAAGTGTAAAACTCTTTGGCTTCTCTGAATCTGCTCTACAGTCATGATGTCATGCGTCAAAGGACTCGCCATAGGACCTCTGGTAACAGCTTCTTGGATTTCTGGTCCAAAAGAGCTGTGCAGCACGCTCACCCAACTGGTGAAAGCTTCCAACCACACTCCGTACTCATGGATCTCCGTGATCCTGTCCTTCCACGTCTTCCATGCAAGCAGTGGCATGGCAGGCAACCACTTCAAGTCCAGCTTGCCAACACTGTCTGCCTTCGTCTCGCTTTGCGTTCCTAACACACTCGGTGCGAGTGGAGCTGTAGCTTGTGGTTGCGGCTGCTGCTGCTGCTGCTGCAAGGACTGTTGCTGTTGCTGTTGCTGACTTATCACGGTGGCCAACTGGGTCAAAGCTTGGGTTTGCGCTTGCACTGCTTGCAATGTCTGCGCCATCATCATCACAACAGATGTGAAGTCGTTGGGCACTGCAGACGGCTGGGAAGGGACACCCAAAGGCGTTTGCTCGTTCGGGGGAATGTGAACTTGGAACACTTGTGGTCTTTCAGCACTGCCGGCTGCAACTTCCTCTCTGGCTTGCAAAGGACTGACCGCTCCTGGACTGAAAGGGTTTGGCGGACTGCAAGGACTTGCAGACGGAGGCGACTGTGCACCCTCTTGTGACATTCTTCTTGCCACCTGGAACTCCGCAGAGCTCCGCTACCATGTAAAATGATAGCAACTGCTTCTGCTTCGCTTCGCACTTCGCACCCAACACAGCACTTTTGCGTCAGGCTTCTCACAAGCTCTGGTTGGTGTGAAACTTGCTTACGGCGAGTTAGACCACACAAGTAGTCGTTCTTCTTGGCCACAGCTTCTTCTTGTCGTCTTGACCACACAAAACACAAGCTTCGGCCAAAGCACCGTCCTCAACTACTTCCTGAGCCTACACAGCGAAGTCGTGCGCTTACAAGTCACTGCACACTGCTGCGTGAACCTTCTCAGAACAGTCACGCGCTTACAAGTCACTCCACACTGCTGCGTGAAGCTTCTCAAAACAGTCACGCGCTTACAAGTCACTGCACACTGCTGCGTGACGCCTTCTCAGCTGAAAGTTCAACTCTCTCAGCTTCTCAGCAAAACAAAACATGTGCCATGCGAAAACAAATTTGTGAAAACTCTGCTGCTGCTCTGCGCTGCCAAAAGCAAACCAAGCAACGGCGAAAACGACAGTCTGTTCCCGAAACTCTTTCAAACACTTGCACCTAACATGAAGAGGTGTTGATAGCCTCTATGGGCATCATTTTCCACAAAAACAGAAAGTTCCTGACCTTGGCGAGACAAAGGGGCCCATTATAGGATTAAAAATCAACTCTGTTTGTAGGGCGCATTCGTGCCGCCTGTACATGTTTAAGATGCTCGCAGCATTTTTCGTCAAATTTTTTTGTGTCCATTTTGTTTGTTCTTGGTTGTGGCTTGCGTTTACCTGGAGCTTTCCTGGAAGTGGGGCAGACTCTTCACAGATCTTGTTCTGTCTATCAAGAGCGGAGGGCATGTGTCCATGGTGCACGTCGGCGTGATTGTCATGTTCGCAAGTCTCTCCAGTCCAAGTTAAAGTCTTAGTTGACCTGGAGCTTCTAAGAATGTGGAAGAAGCTATTGCTCCTTTTGTGGCAGCAGGAAGTGGGACAGGCTCTTCCACAGATTCTGTTCTTCTTGTCTAGAAGCAGCATGTGGCGGCGCTGGAAAATTCTGCGATGGCTGCGCGGTGGAGCGGACGGCGTGTGTCCATGGGTCATAGGCGTGATTCGCAAGTTCCCTCAAGCCAAAAAGACGTTTGCCTGGAGCTCGTGCTGAGAATGTGTGTAAACGTATATCCTCTGTTTGGGAGGTGGTGGGCGTCCGGCTCATCTGTAGAAACCTGAACAGTTCTCGGCTAGTTTCCTGGCACTTGGAGTGTGAGGGACTCTTTTCACTTTAAAGCCGTAGGTCCTGTAGGTTTTCCCTGTTTTCGGACGTTCTGAGGAGCTTTGGTAGTACCAGGGTGCTTTTGGCCCATGGGAAGTTGTTTAGAGAGCTCCGAGCCATCTTTAGGTAGTTTGCACCTCGTTTGCTGGAAGACTTGTGCCGACTTGGCTCAAGACCGGAACTGCGTGTGGAGTGCAGCAGAACGAAGGTCTCTGTCCGAGTGTTGTGCTTGGTCAGGGGTTTTGCTGGGGCTTGTTGCAGTTTCGTTCTTTTTCGTGGTAGCGGAGCGTGTTTGATCCTCTGGGACGCACGCTTGACCGCTTTGACAGAAGTGAGCCCAATACGCAAGTTTTACAACTGAGTTGAGGGTTTTCGTTGCGTCGGTGAAGCATGGAAGGGCGAGGAAGACCGTCGTTTTATGACATGACTAGGGATGATGACACCCCTGGAGTTGTCAGGCGTTCGAGTCGTGGCTCTGATATGCCTTACCCGGAGAGACGAGCGAGACCTTCTTCGGTTCCTAGAGGAGCGGGATTTGGACTTGCTTACAGCCCAATTTCCCACCTTTCCGCTGCAGGGTCGCCACCAGGGTTCCACCCAACTGGGTCTCCTGCGGGGTCACAGCCTGGAACTCCGGTTCCTCCTACTGGCTCCTTTACGGTTCCACCGGGGTTAGTACCGTCACCAGTGCCGAGCGCTCAGGGCGCGGCACCTTCACACATGGAATCGCTGTTGATGCATACGGTGCAGGAGCAGCAGAAGCAGATCAGCCAGATGGCACGCTAGTTGAGGGTTTGGTGTCGAGGGAAAGCCAGAGGGAGACCAAGGGAAAAGGGACTGGCCTGTCCGACATCTCTGGTTCTTCCATGGATGTTGACGAAGGTGCTCCTATAAGGAACCCCAAGGCTGAAGCTTACATCCCGAAGCTGCCTTCTTTGGATGGGACTAGGATGGCAAAGGGCAGGAGGGCTGAGATTGAAACCTGGGTTGAGTACCTGGAAGTTTTCCTTCCATGGCTAGCGTTGTTTGATGACCGTATCCCAGGGGAGATTCAAGCCTATATGACCAAGGACAGCACCATCCAGAACAGCAGTTTGTCGAGGGGTGAGAGCGTGAGGAGCACGAGGGTTTTTCTTTATCTGCGTCAGAGTTTTGGGGCCTACCCAAGGGGTCTCGATGTTTTGAAGCAGGTTGAGAAGGAGCAGCTTGGCGCACCTGCGGGATATGAAGCTATGAGGCGACTCCATTCTGAGCTCAGTGTGTGTAGCAGGATAGAAGCCAGTTCGCTGAGGGAAGAGATCCTGAAGTTCACTGTGCCCAAGGGTTCTGTGAGGCCCCTCGAGGTCTTTCGCTGTGTGCAGGTTGAGCTGGCCAAGTACCAGCGACTCACGGCAGCGTTTGGGGACTTAGGGTTGACCGAGGCAGACAGGTGCATGGTAATGCTTAGGAATCTGGATACCGAAGTGAAGAAGTATATCTTGCTTCATGCCAAGATTGATTCTATTGATCAGTTGGAGACCGCACTCAAGTTTTATGATGCGAATTTGAAGATCTTGATGTTCCAGGAGAAGCCTGGCGGGAAGGGGGATCATGCAAATCAGCTTCAGTTTGAGAAGGAGAAAGGAAAAGGAAAGGACAAAGGAAAGGACAAAGGAAAAGGAAAGGACAAAGGAAAGGAAGGAAAGAAAGGAAAAGGAAAGGACCAGAAAGAAGGCAAGGACAAAAAGAGCAATGGGAAGGAAACCCCGAAGGGTGGCAAAGGAAAGGACCAAGGAGCGGCGGTGACGCCGCCCCCAGGGAACGGCACGCAGAAGAAGTGTTATGTGTGCCAAGAGGTCGGCCACTTTGCAAGGGATTGTCCTTTGGTTGCTCAGGCTCAGGGTGCTGCAGGGAAGCAGGGTAAGGGAAACCAAGGGAAGGATCAGAACAACAGGGCAGCCACGGTTTTGATGGAGCCGGAGTTGTGTGCCGCTGTGCATCACGTGATTCATGATAGGGAGGAAGACAGTTTCTCCGAGACGTCGCTTGATTTTTCCGATTGTGATTGGGAGAATTTTCAGAACAGTGTTTTGGAAGAGCCTGTGGTGGAAGGCCAGGGTTCCGGCGACCAGGGTTTGCGTGATGAGGGTCCAGGGTTTCTGCGTGCCAGCGAGGGTCCTGTACAGCATGTAGCAGCAGTAGCAAGCAGCACCGAGAACA